TTGTGGGGTGCCCCGAGGTGGGGGGGGGGGGGCTGGGGGGGGCCCCCGGGCCCCCCCCCCCCAACCAGCCCTGTCAGTTGTCCTATCCCCCCACCGCCTCCTCCTCTCTCTTGATGCCCACAGCAACCAGGACGACTACCAGCTGGTCCGCAAGCTCGGGCGGGGGAAGTACAGTGAGGTCTTCGAGGCCATCAACATCACCAACAACGAGAGGGTCGTGGTGAAGATCCTCAAGGTGAGTGTCCCGTTGGTGGCGCGGGGGCTTGCGGTGCCTGGAAGTGGGGGCAACGGCTGTTGGATCTCCTTCACCCCCAAAGCTCTTGTTTTCTCATTAAGGACGTTGGGACGGTGGGTTTGGAAATGGATTTGGTGTCCCGCGTGCCATAGCGATGTTTTGATGTCTCCACCGCTCCTGTCCAGCATAGCTCTGGACTGAGAGCAGCTCTGGGGGAGGAGAGCTGCGAGTCCTGACACTTGGGCAGCGTTGCATGTGCTGCCTGTGTGTGGTAAATTGTATCTGTCCAAAACAGCCCAGGGACTGCCATGTCAACAGGAATGCGAGGCCCAGAGGGAGGAATCCTTCCGTTAACCTCTAGACAGCTGGCACGTGGCTGTTTTGGAGCAAGGCTGTGGGATGCTCAGCATTTGAAAAAGCAGGCAAAATTTTGTATTTAGTCCTTTAGAGGATCTGACGTGGAACAGAACTTCACCACGGGCAGGCCAAAACCACCGTGGAAACTTGAGGAGGCTAAAAGAGGTTGTCTGAAGTTTGGCAGCGTTGGTGACCCTCGTTCTGGTGTGTTGGCCCTGGTGGGGCTGGGCTGTGGAGACCTTCATGCAGCAGTAACAGGTTGTAGTTTGGGGTGGCTGAATGCACGGGTTAGCCGCTGCAGGGCACAGCTTACCGTGCTTGGTGCTGGAGCAGCAGGCTCACAGCAAGCTGCGGCAGCTGTCCCAGCAGCAAACTGTGTTGGTGATCTGGGGGTAGGCAGGGGTGTTTAAAAAAAAGCAGAAATGAAAGGTTAGAGTTGAGGTGCTTTTGGTTGTGGCTTTGCTGACACTTGTGGCTGCCACTTGTTGGACCAGCAACACGTGTCACTTGTTCACTGAGAGCACGTGGGAGCCAGTGTCTGCCCATGGGTTTTCTGAGAATTCGGGCACGTGTTGATCCGTAGCGTGTGCGGGGCTCTGAGCTTAACCCGCCCTTGCAGCCACCAAGACTAGCAGCTGCCTAGGACACGCGTCTCTCCGCCGGGCTGTCGCCGTAAGGCATTTGCTAGATCTGCTCTGATAGTGTGGCCAGGTGTCTCTGCTGGTATCCCCACCTGCTCGCTGTGCCTGCTTCCTTGAGATCTTCCTTGCCTTCCCGGGGAACTCGCCGTGGTTAGTCTGGCCACCGCTCCTAGGCAAGGCACGATGTCCCGTCTGCCTCTGGGAGGAGGTACACGCACCCCTGCTTTGGCTCTGGTCAAGGTGGTGGCCAGGTGAGCCGTTCGGGAGAGTCCCTGCGGCAGCCTGACGTTGGGGCAGAGCAGTGAGGCTCACGTGTCCTCGCTGAGCTGAGTTCCTCCGACACACTGTTTAGACCTCCCCCTCCTTTGGGTGCTTTATGTGGTTTTGGGTTTTGTTTTTTTCAGTAGGGGCAGGCAAGAGTTTCTGCTATGAGAGCGTAGTCAAAGGTAGCCAGAGCAGAGCTGGGTTTTAGGGCAAGAGGGCCTGTGGCTAGGCTGGGGAAACCGTGCACTTCTGCATGCTGCTCTGGAGCCCCTGATGGTCTCTTCAGGACTGCTGTGGTTTGTGGTGACCCTAGGTCTTGTCCCAGGTAGAAAGGCACCACGAGGCTGAGAAGAGACTGCAGGGAAAGGTGTCAGAGATCTTCCTCCTTGCCTCTTCCCAGCCTAAAGAGCCTCCCCTGAAGCGATGCTCCTCTCCCGGTGGCAGCCGAACTCTGTCATGTCTACGGAGCCTGGCAGTACTGGACTGTGAGTCAGCTGGCAAGAGTCATCCGAGGGTGGCTGGGCGCTGCTTCTCCTTGGGGCCTGAATAGGTTGCCTTAATGCCCTGTGAGCAGGGGACTGGATTGTCCCAGATTCGAAGCGGATGGTGTTGCCACCGGTTCCCCTGGCTCCCCCTGCTTGTGTCAAGATGCAGACAGCATTCCTGTGAGTGAGCAAGGAAAAGCAGAAAGTCCGGATAAATAAAGATGAACTTTCTGCTCAGTGGAAAGTGGGTCAGCGAAGAGTGAGTTTCAGAGT